GGAAAGAGAGTCCCTGCCTCTGGACCCCAGTCCAGGGAGTGGGGAGGCCGAAAAGACTGAGATCTCGACTCATTACTTCATATCTTTCTTCAGCAAGCTGCTGATAAAATCCTTGGCGTCATCAGAGATCTCATCGAAGGCCTCGTCGTCAAAGTCCCAGGTGGCTGAGGTGACGTTGGCTAAGGTTTCGTTATCGTTGTCACCCATGAAGGGGGACAGTCCACTGACCCTGGGGGGTGAGAGAGAGCAGTGAGTGGGGGAGGCCAGCAGGGAGGGCGGTCCCGCCAGGGGAGCGCTCCCTGAGGTCAGAGGTGAGAGCGCCCCAAACGCCCCCGCGCCTGCCTCTCCTCCCACCCAGGAGAGAAGGGGGCGCGGCTCTCAGCCTCTGCCCGCTGGCGCACTCACTGTGCTTCTGGGGTGCCGCCCGCCTGTTGACACCACCTGCCTGTGAAGCTGAGGCGGAGGGACTTTTCTTCAGCTCGCCACTTCCACACGGCACTGCAGGGCCTTCCTCCCTGCCTTCTGTGCTTCCCCAACACCCAGGCGAGAACTTCGCCCCGCAGAACCTTCTCCAAGGTCCTGGGGGGAGGAGCGGCCTCCTTCGCAGGGCTCCAGGCACGCACGCGCGCGCGCGCGCGCGCACACACACACACACACACGCACACACGCACACACACACCCCCCGTGGACTGGTCACGTGGTACAGCACTCATCACCGCGCCCTGTCCCGCCCTCCCACCTCCCACCCTCAGCATAAAGAACAGGGCCAGCCCACGCGGGGCTCGGCAAGGGTGTGTCCACGAAGGGTGGACCTGAAATGCGGGTCAGTGATCCATCTGTACTTGAGGTCAATGTGCCTGAGGCATTTAGGCCAAACCAGAAAACTTCCCTCAGAGGAACCATGGCCTGTTCATTCGCTGGGTGACCTTGGACGATTCCCCTCATCTCTCTGTGTCAGCTTCCTCCTCTGTTAGATGGACAACCTGCTACTTGGAGTGGTCACCACTGCCACCTCTCCCTGTCCTCCTTCTGCGTCCTCATTCTCAGGACAGCAGACATCTATCAAATGTTCACTATGTGCCATGCACTGGGAAGAGAGCTAAAACAGATTGACTCATTCAGTCTTAACACCACCCTTTAAGGCAGGTAACTCATTACTTCGTTTAACAGATATGGAAACTGAGGCACCAAGTGGGGGTAAATAACTTGCCCAAGGATTTGCAGTCAATGAGCCTATTTCTTTTTTTTTCTTTCTTTTTTTTTTTTTTTTTTTTTTTTTTTTTTTTGCGGTACGCGGGCCTCTCACTGTTGTGGCCTCTCCTGTTGCGGAGCGCAGGCTCCGGACGCGCAGGCTCAGCGGCCATGGCTCAGGGGCCCAGCCGCTCCGCGGCATGTGGGATCTTCCCGGACCGGGGCATGAACCCGTGTCCCCTGCATCGGCAGGTGGACTCTCAACCACTGTGCCACCAGGGAAGCCCAATGAGCGTACTTCTTAACCACTAATTTGTACAGTCATTTCTAGGAAGATGAAGTAAATCACAGCGTACAGCACTGGCAGGAGGCCTGGTCCGCAGTAAGGAGCTTGGTCTGTGACCATAGCTATTATGCAGTTCTTCTGTACACAGTTCACGCCCACTGCCCCATCAATCTGTGATCTCTGGAATGACTCACTTACCAATAGCTTAAGCCAAATAAAATTTGGAAGGTAAAGTATCTCAAAGCCGAATGGAGCAGACATCTGGCTTACTGGCCTCACTTCTCACCTCTGGCGGGGACCTCATCTTCCCCCCCAACCATGCAGCCCGCCACTCACCCTGACCTAGGGCCAGCTTCATGGGGCTTGGAAGAGCCCCACTCTTGGCTTAATGCTCTGCTGCCATCATTTTGAAATTCTTAATGTTTACACAAGTCACCCCACCTTTTTATGCTGCACTGGGCCCTATGATTTATGTAGCTGGTCCTGCCCTGTCCCCACCTGAGCCCTATGAGATGGATCTAGGGCCCTCATGCCATCAACCTTCCAAGTTAAGACTTCACTAACATCCCTTTCCCCAAATCCCTCATCATAAACAATAATGCAAACCCCTCGGGAGCTGTTTTGGCATCCAAGAGGCATCAGCTTATGAAATACACTCGGCCCTGAAAACTAAGTTTTGTAAAACAAAATCTATTGAAATATTGCAAGGAAAGCTTGCCACGGGAGGAACCCTCTGGTGAAAATCTTCATTAAAAAGAAGAAAAAGAGCTTTTTCAGTGTGAATTATCTCACCCTAATCAACATAGTTGTGCTTTTGAATAAAAGAGTTTTATAGATGGCATTAAAATGTCTTAAAGCAAGACACCCATTTATGTTCTGAGAAGGCATGGAGATAATCATTCTTGATCATATCACAATGAAGGAAGGGTGGGACCTCACCAGGCCCGAGTCTGTGCTGTTATATGCTATTCCTTTCCCCTCTCTGGGCCTCAGCTTCCCCTCTTATACACCAAGGGTACTGGACTAGAATTTCTAGGGGCTCCCAGGAAGCCCATAGGCTTAACTAGTCCCATCAAGAAGCAGCCTGACTCTTGCTTGCCAGCTACAAGCTTCATTCTGTCTCTGCACTTTCCATTTGAAACAAAGGGGGGAAGTCCTACAGCACTCCAAGAGATTGCCGGGAGGGGGGTCAGGGAAGTAAACAACCCTGCTGTGGAATGCTGAAAGGCCGCCTTCTGTAAACCTCCTTTCCTAATTAGGAACTGTCATCCTGCAAAGATAGGGCTTAATCTCTGTGATGTTCATAGTTGGGGAGAGCCTCCTCTCCTCTGGCCTCTGGCACTCCTCCTTCCTGGCAGCCCACCCATCTGAAATCCCTCCCAAGCCTTGGCTGTCTCCTCACCTGCCCCAGCTCCCCCAGCATTCCCCCTGATAAGCAGTACGTCTCTAAAATAAAACTTGCAAAATATGCAGAGCCTGATGATGAAGACAGTATTCGAATTTTAGTAATGCCTTTCCGTGGTGGTGGTATTTTACAGAATTTTTAAACTTCCTTTCTTGTACTTTTTCTTTATTGCTACAATTTGCATAGGATCATATATGGTTGGGTTGTTCAACCCAATCAACAAACATAGTAACCCTAGCATTAAAAACACAGCTACCGGGCTTCCCTGGTGGCACAGTGGTTGAGAGTCCGACTGCCGATGCAGAGGACATGGGTTCGTGCCCCGGTCCGGGAAGATCCCACATGCCGCAGAGCGGCTGGGCCCGTGAGCCATGGCCGCTGAGCCTGCGGTGGCCGGAGCCTGTGCTTTGCAGCGGGAGAGGCCACAACAGTGAGAGGCCCGCGTACTGCAAAAAAACAAAACAAAACAAAACAAAAACGCAGCTACTCACCTCTTTTCCTAGTCTTACCTAGGTTTTAACTGAACGGGATCAGAGTATACCACCCCAAAATATGAACTTGGGCATAAAAATTGCCTTGAACTGAAGGCAATTAGCCCTTTGTCCTCCATCTTTCTGTCTAAAAGCAGGACATAAATTTCTCTTCGTTAAGGTGACATAAATTTCCATTTGTTCTATTCATTTCTTCTCTTCCCAGGAAGAGGAGAAAGACTGTCATCTGCATATTAGATATCGCTGAACAGTCCCTATACATTTCCTAGTCACCTTGTCACAATTTACTCCCTCCAGAAGCTCCAAACCCTTTTTCCTTCATCTAGTTATTTCTGTATAATTTATCACTCTTTGTTAAAGTGGTATATAAGCCCCACATTTTAAAGGTAACTTGAGTCACATTTCTTTATGAACACCTGTGCATATGTACATAATTAAATCTGTTTTCTTTTTGTTAATCTGTCCTTTTAAAAAAAAAAAATTATTTATTTATTTGGTTGTGCCGGGTCTTAGTTGCTGCATGTGGGCTCCTTAGTTGTGGCATGTGAACTGTTAGTTGCTGCACGCATATGGGATCTAGTTCCCTGGCCAGGGATCGAACCCGGGCCCCCTGCATTGGGAGCGTGGAGTCTTAGCCACCGTGCCATCAGGGAAGTCCTGTTAATCTGTCTTTTGTCAGTTTGACTTGCAGACCCCCAAGAACTGAACCAAAGAGGTAGAGGAAAGTTTTTTTCTGCCCAACATAACCAGTGAATTTGTCTGGTGTTCACAAAATTGTAATCAGTGTGGGCAAGTTCTTGGATGCTCTACTTTTTCCTCACTTGACATTGTCTTTCACAAGTGTATACAGAGTCTTAATGTTCATTTTTAATGGTTAAATATTAGTCTTTGTGCTAATGAGTCAACTGAGGACATGACTGCAGGGTGTTCTAATCTCTTAATTCTTAATCTCCTACTGCAGCCAAACTTCACTAGGGAATCTGATGCGGGGGCCTGTTCTGCTTGGAGGACAGAGCATCAGGAGACAGAAGGGAGAAATGCCTCTTGAATTACACTCTCTCTATGGTGTTTTTTAAGCAGATGACTCCACTGCGTGAATGGCCAGCAAAGGAGCCCATACATCTTCCAGCAGAACTACTGAGCGCTTAGGAAGGGGTTAGTATTTTATCCCATTTTATCCTTGGGATGCTCATTCCCTGGTGTGGTGCGAAGATTTGAGAGGGCTGGGCAGGCCCCACAGGAAGAGCTGGGCATCGTTTTGTGCAGTAGCCTAGGAAAGACAGACCCAGGGTTTAGTCATGTTAACCACAGCCCAAGTCCCTGGAGAGCAAAACCTGCAGGTGGTGTCTGGGCCTGGTGTGGATGTGGGGTGCCTGGAGGTCTCAGGACCTGCAATAGAGAGCATGTCTGGACTCAGCAGCTAAGAGGGCAGAAGCAGCCCTGGGTGGAGCTCCTGGATCCCTCTGAAGAGCCCTGCATCCAAATCTGAGTCTGAGTAGGTTCCTGATGCTCGGGCACTGGGACTTCTCCCCAGCTCACTAGGCTGCTGTCCCCAGAAGTTAGATTCCAGACGGGGATGGACCTGGCTCTCTGGACCATGGTGCGTGCTCACAAATGAGCTGAGGTGGGAAGTCTGCTGCTGAGCACAGCAGGAAGATGGTAGGGAGGAGAAAGCAGGGCAGCAGTTTGGGGGGGGGGGGAGAAGGAATTCTGGGTAGGGGTGAGGGCAGGGCACAGAGAAGGGTTTTGGTGTCTCCACAGGCAGTAAGGGAACAGCAAGTCCTAAGGAAATGGGGGGAGGGAGATAGAGAGGGAAGGAGGTCTTAGAAAAGGAGGCGGGGCTTAGAATTTCTTCACCGTTGAAGTGTGGCCTAGAGAGCCTGGTCCTCTCTCTTCCTGCCAGAAACCAATGGGTATTGGTAATAGCAGAAGTCTCCAGCAGATCCACGAAATCTGCTTCTCCCTTCAGAATCAGGGGTGAGAGGGTAAGGGGCCCCCAACCCCACCTGCTACATCTCTACCCTGCCTGGGGACCCTGGGCAGGCAGTGGAGCCAGGTCTCCTGTACCGTGACAGGATCTGCCCCGATCTCTCCGAGGGTGTGAGAAGGAGTTCCTTCAGCAAAGTCAAAACAACCTATGGGACACAGCTGCTCACTTAGGAGGTGCTCACCAAATCTGCGCTGAGGGATACATCTGTTATCACCTGTCCCCCAGCTCCCCATATCTCACTGGCCCCAGAAAGGAGATGGTGGGGAGGGGGGGCATCCTCTGGCACAAACAAACAAGGAAGGTGACCCTGACAAGGACTCCAAGCTCCAAAGAGAGGGATGGAGGGTGCACGAGGGCCGCCAGAGAACCTCTTCTGGGGGCTTCCGGCAGGGGCTCCAGAATTCTGCAGAACAGGGGCTGAGAGGAAGCAATCTGGCTGGCTCCACCTTCTGTTCTCACACCACGTGCCCTGCTGACAGCCCTAGTTGAGGAGAGAGACTCCCAGACCTCAGTCCCCACTGTGAGAGCCAGCAGGAAAAGTCCCACAGGGCAGAGCAGCCCGCAGAGGTGCTGGCTCCCCAGCTGCCAGGATGCTGGGGAGGCTACAGGAGGCTGTGTAGGGCTGGCCTGTGTCCGTCACCCCCACTGCTCACCTGCACCACAGGCACCTCTCCACCCTCCTCCCGCCTCCCGCCTCCGTCCAGATGCCTTCAGGCTGGTGCCCCATTCATCAAAATTATTTTCCCCCCATTTCAAAAAGCTCTTCCCTATTCCTAGGTCTCAGCTTTAAAAGTAATCTAGCAAACCATGTAACATGTTATCCAAATTATTTCTTCCACCTCAAAGAATTTTCATTTTAAAATAAAGTGCTCTTATGACCCAGTAATTCTAGTTCTAGATTATATGTCCAACAGAAATGCATAAAGATATTCACTAAAGCACGTGTACCGGAATACTCACAATAACCCAAACTGGAATCTAGTCAAAAGCCCATCAGCACAGAATGGATAAGTTAACTGGATGAAGTTCACAGAGTGAAACACTATACAGCAGCAAGAATGAACAGCCTACAGCTGCACACCATAACACGAATGTGGATCACACACAAGGTGGGGCAGAGGAAGCCAGACACATCTTTCTGTACGATTTCGTTTATATAAAGTTCAAAAGCAGGTGAACGTGGTGCGTGATGTTAGAACGGGGATCAGGTTACCCCTGAGGGAGTAACCAGAGCCTGGGCACCGGGAGGGCTGCGGGCCTGGTATTGTGTGGTTTCCAGGTCTGGGTATAGGTGTGTCCACTGTGCACATTCACTGAGCGTCTAGCCGGTCACCGGTCTGGCCCTGACCCGTAGGGAGACCAATCGTCCTAGTTTGCCCAGGATGGTCCTCACTTCAGCACTGAAAATCCCGTATCCTGGGAAACCCATCAGTGCTGGGTGAACTGGGACAGCTGGCCACGCTCTAGGACTGCGGGAAGTGGGCAGCCATGTGGGCTTCCCTGGCTCCTGTGACCTCAATGCCAAATGAAGATCGAATCTCTGCCATGCCCCACTCCCAGGTTTATTCTGAGGACCAAACAGATGGTTCTGATTCTACAGCAGTGGGAAAACCGATGCAGAGAGTAAGGCAAGTCTCCTTGATGGCTGCAGGGGGATTCAGGACCAAGCCAAGCCACGCCACAGGGCAGCTGGGTCTGAACAGAGGGAGCTGACAAAAGACCGTTTCCTAAGACCCTCTCCTGGGCAAAGATCCAGCGTGAGCCCCATCCAGCCTGGGGCAGTCCCCACTGCCCTGCTCTGCTTTAAACCAAGGGGCCAGCACTACAGAATCTGGCACAGTTTTCTTCACTCCTCAGCTCCCTTTCTCCTGGAGAGGACTGGGTAGGGAGCGTCAGGGAGATGCACTCCTGGCCAGAGTTTCTTCTCTGCTGCTCTGGGGGAGGCTGTGTTGGTGGGGGTGACCCCAAGCAGGGGATATGACTCTTCTGGGGTACAGAACCTGTGACACAGGTTCAACTGAGGTAGGCTGTCCTAATAGCCCACAGGGAGAGTAAGACTCCTGAGCACGTGAAAAAGCCACATTGGTGCGCGCACACACACACACACACACACACACACACACACACACACACACACACACACACACACACACACACACACACACACACACACACACACACACACACACACACACACACACACACACACACACAAAATCATGCTGCTTCCACCAAAGCTTTTGTAACAGTGGTTCCTAAACCTGGCTGTGCAGTAGAATCACCTAAAGCCATTTCTCACACTGGGGTCTGAAGACCCCACGGATCTAAGAAAGTATTCTTAGAGGTCATATTCAAGTTTTCTGTGAAAATGTTTAATTTGTCCTTTTGCTTTAACAACAAAAACTTTTTTACAAAATGACTACATGCATATCTGCATTTTCAGGGAGACCATCCCATAACTGTGTGATGCCACACAAACTCAGGGGCTGCCACTACGGCTGGTGCCTGCTTGCAGCCTGAGGCTTCAGAGACTAAATCAGCCAGATCCCAACAAGAGGGTGTGCCCTAGGGCCTGGTACTCAAAGTGCTGTCTTCAGACCAGCACCATCAGCAACCAGCACCTGTTAGAAATGTGGATTCTCAGGTCCCCTGGAGCTTCTGAATCAGAACTTGTAATCTAAGCAGCCCAGGTGATTCCCTCATATTACTGTCTGTGAAGCACTGGTCTAGATTACTGGCCTTCCCTCTTTTCTCCAGCATTTTTTAACGGAATGGCTTCCTATTTTCCACCTAATTTCCCAATTCTAATTACTACACAGTAGCTTTCTGTGGTCTATGGGTCCCACTAAAAGCTTTATCATCAAAAGTGCTTATTAATTAGTCCGTATACTGGATGCAGAGATGAGGCTGGAATTTGGGGTCCCTCTGCCGTGAGGATGGGGTGCGGTCCTCTGAAGATGACGATGACACCCACAGCAGATGTACACCTGGGCTCTCTCCCTGCTTCTCTATGGACCCATGTACACACATGAAGGTAAATTCCACGGCACCAGCCACGTTCCTGTCCTCCTGACCAAAGGCCCCTAGGTGGCTAGCATCAAGGATGGTGAGGAGCCCAGAACGGGGCTCTTGCTGTGTCGAGCTAGACGCTCCTGCAGAAGTGTGACGTGGGCTGTGGACATCACCGGGAGCACAGAAGCCAGGCAGGCCAGCGAGGAGGGGGATGGGAGCCTACCGCCCTCCTGACTCTAGGCAGGCTCCCCATCAGGACCCGCCCTGGTCCCTTCAACATCAGGGCATCCTGGGGACCCTCCCCACCGTGTGCCCCAGGACTCACAGGATGTAGCAGATGACCCCGATGCTCCACATGTCTGTGGCGTAGCCAATGGGCTCATAGTTGATCACTTCAGGTGCGACGAACTCTGGGGTGCCAAAGAGGACCTTCAGAGACCCCGCGTTCTCTGCAACCAGGATGGAGAGGGATCAATCGCCAGAACATCCCTAAGCCAACCCGAGGTAAGCAGATGCCTGGGAGGACACAGGCAAGGCTGGCCTTCAGCGGTTCTCCCCTTGCAGGAAGCCAGAGACAACAGCCTCCTCGTGGAAACAAGTGCATCGATACACCAGTGAAACCAACAAGCTGCACGCGAACCTCAAATGTTTGGGCGGGGTTGACGGAGGTGGGGAGCCCGTTACAGCCCTGCCCCGGATGGAATGGCTTTCCATGTGTCTGTCTCTCCCATGAGTTCCCTGAGACAGGGGTTGTGACTTGTGCTGGAAAATAGTCTCTACCATTCAGTCTGTCATTTGTACCCTGCTGCCTGCTTTATGAGGACTTTCCTATTTAATGCTCTGGCCAGCCCTAAGGAGGATGACCCCCATCTCCCAAGGAGAAAAGGGAGGCCCAGGGAGTGACTCCCCCCACCCCGCCTACCGGTAAATGGTGGTCAGGACCTAACCCAGGGGGTCTGACTCCTGAGCCATGTTCCTCCCCTCCCCCACCCACCTCTCCACGCGTAGTGTCACATCTCTCTTCCCAGGGGCTGCTGGGAGGTTAGTTGGGAAAAACCGTAACCCTGAGGTGGTGCCTCTGAGCCATAGAGGACCATCAGCCACCAAAATGACCCTTGGGTTGGGTACTCAGGCCCTGACTGCCTTCCCCTAACGTGCCCTGCCTCCTGAAAGGACAGGAGCAGCAATGATGCTTCGGAGAGCCCTGGACTAGGCCCCAGGTCCTCATTCCACCCCAGCTCATCGTGGGACTTGCTGGGCAGAGCTACTGTGAACCTCGGTTTCCTGGTCTACACAATGAGGCTCATAAAACCTGCCCTGCCTGCCTCAAAGGGTTGCTGCGAGAATCAGATGAGAGAAAGTAGGTGAAAGTGCTCTGGAAACTGTACAGTAGGGTGCAAATGTGAGGAAGCACCATCAGCAAAATGTTCTGCTGCTGAAGGCACCAGAGTGGAAAAAATAATAACGGTAAAATAAACGAAAACACCTACATAGTGCTTACTATGTGCGAGGCACTGCTCTTATCACTCTACCTATATTAATTCAGTGATCCCATAACAACTCTATGAGGTGAGTCCTACTGTTACCCCAATTTACAGATAAGGAATTTGAGACATAGGTTCCCACAGCTAGTAAGTGGGAGGGGCAGTCTCCACGGTCTCTGATCTCAGCTCCAATCCGGGGCATCCCCTCTAATACTGTTGTTGTGTCTAATACAGTGCATGGAACACAAACAGCCACGGCCACTGCCATGACATGTTGGTGACAACAGGAGAGGTGGCTCGGCCTTACCCAACCTCCTGGCCAGACCGAAGTCGATGAGCTTGATCCTGGTGCCTGTCTTGTTGACACACATGATGTTCTCGGGCTTGAGGTCCAGGTGGACAATGCCCTGCTTGTGGATGTACTCCACCCCCTCCGAGATCTGCCTCATGTACTTGATGCACTCCCGCTCGGTCAGCTCAAAGTCCTCATCGATGATGCGCTCGAACAGCTCACCCCCGGATACGCTGCAGGGACAGAGGGGGTGCTCAGACCACAGGAGCAGGGAGCCTGGCCAGGGCAGGCTGGGGGAAGGGGTCACGGCCAGGAAAGCCCAGTGTATGGGGGTGCCAGGCATTTTCTGCAGCTTCCTGAGTCCCAGACCACTGCCCCGTTATGTTGGTCCCAGTCTTCCACTGTGTGAGGACGGCCTGGTCCTCCTGGTTTCCTGCTTGGGGGACCCTGCCTGTGCCCACTAAGCTTTGGAGGGGTTCAGGGAAGCATCTACTAGGCAGTTTCAGAGGTGGCCATGAACTGAGAGATCTAGCATGATCTCCTAAGCAAAAAGGGTAACTGCCAGGCAACCTCTTTCC